TTTCACCTGCAAGACTTAAGCATTTTATTGCCAAGGCACACCACTGGCTCAGCATACTTCTGGAAAAAGTCAGTGTTATTTGCTTTATGCTTGTGACAAGGCTGAGCCATGGCAGTGCAACCAAAGCCATCAGTAATATTCTGCACACCCAGCACACTGTCAGCAGCAAAGGGAACATTAGCCGACAGGACCTCTCTGACTTTTGATTTAGCCTGGCATCTCTCCAGGTTAGCAATTCTGCCACCTATAAAATAATTAAAGCAGCTCCCTTCACTTCTGCTTCCGGATGCAGCAAGCAGCACTGCTGCATAAAGGGCAATAAACAAGAGCTGAGCTAGGACATAGCCTTGCTTGGGGCTGTTTTTGACAATGACATATTCTGGCATCTTGTCATCACTGAGAACTTTTGCATTACCTCACACCATCATGAAATAACCAAAACATGCTCACAGACTTACTTGGACACCCAAATTTATGCAGATGCCTCTGGGCTGCTCACGGCTGACAGTGATGGGGTTTTTAGTTAGCTCTGCAAAGGCCAGCTAGAGACATTTGCTCGCTTTGAAGCAGGACAAGCCTGAAAGCCAGACTGCTTCTGCAAGAGCCTTTTCAACACCCTCACCAACAAATCTATTGATGTCATTTTGACACAGATTTTTCTCAGCAGTTGGGAAAATCAATATACCTTGCTGTCTCTGCAGGAACGTTTTTACCTTTCCTTTGTAAAAGGCACTCTGCATCTGTATTCTTGAACCCCTTGAAATACTCTCTCTTTATTCGGCAATTGTGGTGAACTCCAGTTTTCTAGCTAGATGGTGACACTGTATTTATGTATAGTAGTAGGGCGTGAGCAGGGACTTTGCCTTGCCTTGCAGCAGCTGCTCAGCAGCTGTAGAAATCTCTGCTCCCTGCTTTTTGAACATGGAGCTGAGAAATGGTTTTTAACTCTAGCAGAGCTGAAGAATGAAGGGTTTAAGAAATTGCTGAGGTCTTTGAGAAAGCCATCTGCAATTTCCCTTTGATCAGATAATAGAGTTAAAGTGGTTTTGGGCCACAGCCTTTGTAGACAATCTTGTAATTTCTATGATTGGCAGCTGGTGAAGCTTTTCCCCCCATCTTTCAGTATGCAAACCACAGGCTTTGCTTGTGATTCTGCCTTCTTCTGTGGTAAGCAGCTTTCTTGCCTGCCAGTTTTTATTTTTACCTGAAGCTGATGCAGCACCTGCATGTCAGCAGCAATCTGAGGGATGTGCCTTTTTCATTAAGCCAGTCCTAAGATGTGCACTTGGCAAGACTGATGAATTTGGCTTAAGATCTCATCGGAATCTCTTTGAAACTGTCCACACTGTGTTGACAACTTCTCCTTGTTTCTGCAGTTAAACTATAGCAACACCAAGGTTGGTCTCTAGATGCTTCCACACGCCTGCTTTGTCTTATTGCCCACATGTCCTTTTCTGGATTTGATTCAGTTTTGTCAGGCAGGTCTGGGTCAATGAGTGCTGTTTGACTCCTTGCCAGTTGTTGATCAGATTTGCCCTGAATGCCCTCCCTAGTTTGAGTCCCACAATGCCCTCCATGGGCTGAAGGGTCTAGTTAATACTATCATGTCTGCATTGTAGGCTTCTGCATTTAGGCAGGCCAGCCACCCCAGAGTGCTCTAGAGTAGTGATCTGATCTTTAGTCTTCAGTGTAGATACATAGTAAATACCCTGGCAATGCAGATATTGGTGAATTTACTTCAGATTCACATTGGTATTAAGAGAGAGAAAAATCTGGATTAAAAGAGGATTTCATCTTTTTCGAAGTTTGTTTGGTAAAATACATTGTGTCTCATTAATGCCTCAAGCATGATGCATTTTGAAATAATTTGTTGTGAAAGCCAAACCTGTGTGTACATATCTTCTGTATCTTATTTCTTAAAAAAAAGATCCTGATACATGATAGAAAAGCACAGGTAAGTGGCGCATATTTCACAAGAGACAGATATAAAAGTTTTTAGTAGGAAAAATCCCCTTTACCTTCAGTCATTTAAATGTTACCTTTTATTTTCCCAGCAGGTTGTCTCTCTTCCCTCTGTATGAGCTGGGAGAGAGGGAGGGAGACTAGGCATCTACAGAATGCTATTTGTCCTGCTTCACCATGCTTCCCCAGATGCAATAAATCCCCCCCTTGTACATGTTTACAGAAGGCTTCTTTTCTTTCTTTGCCTGTAGAGGAATCTAAATAGCTAAATGAGAATAAGACTTACCCTGTCTTCCCCCCCTCTGCTCACTCCCTCCGCTCCCAGGCTTTGTACATCTCCCTCCACAGCTGATTACGTGCACACAACCTGTTCCTGTTTTTAGTCATTATTCTATGTAGCAGAAAGTAATTCCCAGGTCTCTCCTGAGTGCCCCAAAGGCAAAAAGCTCAGGAGAATTCATAACAGACCTCATTGCAGCCAGTGGGTTATTTTCCAGCATTGTTGCAGCCACTCAGCCAGGCCATGGGGTGCTGGGGAGGGGAAACCTCAGCAGATGCTAACAGCGCCAATGGGCAGGCCCCAGGCTGGCTGGGATTGTGCTGAGGAGGCAAGCTGCTGAGAAACCCAGGCTCTTTCTTCAGTCAAGGGTGACTTGATGAGCTGAGACTTCAAGGGAGATTCACTCCATCTACCTTCAGGCATCCACACAGCAGATTTCTGCACTTGAATTAGTCACTGCAGGTTCCTTTACAGAGAAATGGCCACTTCTTAGGGAAGATTTCTCCATCTATTTTAGGCACCTTTCATGTGAATTGCTATCTTAAAGGAACTTTTCCTGCCCTGACTATACAGGGTGCCTAGGTAGCTTGACTTCAGTGAAACTATCGTAAAGCACAACTCACTTCAAGGGAAGACAGGAAAGTACTTTGAAGATAAATCTGTTAAGTGTTACTAAATATGTAAAGATCGTACTGAGCTGAAAATAATGAGTAGCTGGGAAAGAAACTTGGGGTTTTATGCAACTTCACCCCCATTTCTTTACTCTTCCCTATGCTCCTGTCTACTGCATCTGTTGGCTGTTGAGCTAGATGAACCCTTGGTCTGACACAGTAGGGGCATCCTTGCAATCTTATGACTAGCTCTGATTTCTCCATCTTCTTTGTAGACATTTACATTTTAATAGATAACTGCACCCACCTCATGCCAAAATTGAGACCCAGACAGTAAGCAGTATGTGCTCTTGCAAATTAAACTGTGGTGTAAATAAATGAAAAATGTTATGCCAGCAAAGCCGTGCTGCAGCAAGCTGAGATAAGAAATCATCCTTGTGTAAGCTGGCAGAATTTTGGGGTATTTGATCATGGGTCAGTTTACACAACACCAAGCTGGCTGGTGACAGACAGGGTACCCTTGTCTCAAAGAGGGGGAAGGATCTTTGCACAGGAGTTAGCCAGGTTCATTGAAAGAGCTTTAAACTAGATTTGAAGGGGGAAAGGGATAAGACCAAGCTGGCTACAGACAAGCCTGGGGGCAGCATGTGGATGTTTGAGGGACAGCATGCTAGAGAGGCCCTTTGTTCTGCCGTCTCTGTGGAAGTAGGGCATGGAAATCCACGTGGCAGCAAAGACAAAAGGGTTATTGATATGTTAGAAACAACAGAAGAACCTGAGAATGGTCATGTAGGAATTAGGTCTTCTTCCCCTCTTCATCCCCCCCCACAGGGAAACATAGTGACAAAGGATGAGGAAAAGGCTGTGGTACGTAATGCCAGGAAGGTTATGAACAGATCATTTGAGTGTCATCATGCAGCATGTACACAACCACCAGTCAGGATGGGTTTATGAAAGGCCTGTCCTACTTGACTAACCTGATCTGTGACAAGGTTATCCACCTGCTGAACGAGGGAAAGGTTGTGGATGTTCTCCAGCAAGACTTTAGCAAAGCCTGTGAGACTATTCCCCACAGCGCTGTTACAGAGAAACTGGCTGCTCAAGGCTTGGATGCGTGTACTCTCCACTGAGTAACAAAACAGGCTGGATGACTACACCCAGAGTGCTGATGAATGGAGATAAATGCAGTCGATGCGGTGTTCCTCAGGGCTCAGGACTGGGGCCAGTTGTGATTCATATCTTTATCAATGACCTGGGCAAGGAGAACAGATGGACCCTCAGTAAATTTGCAGATGACACCAAGTTTTACAAGTGTTCGTAGAGAAGGCAAAGCCCATGGCTATAGGAGGATTGGCAGCATTATAAAATGCTAGCATCTGAGCAGTGGCTACTGGACTTTATCATCCCAAATATCCCCAAACTTTGAACACTGCTACCCACCCACCCCGCCACGTACTTCTAGGATCGAAGCAGACTTCATTAGTGAGATTTGTACGCACAGGCAAAACAAACAGAGAAACTAACTCCCTTCCCCCAAGAAAACTCTCAGCTACCTAATATTCTAAAATAATCAAGGACCAGAAAGAGGAAAAGAGGTATTCCAAAACTGACGGGGAATGGCATTTTAGAGTGCCTCCTCTTCCACAACACACCTTACTTGACAAGTTACTGAGTGTGGAGAATCTGCCTGGTCCCAAGAACAAGCACAAGAAGAGCAAAGCACTTTTTAGTGATTTCTCAGTCTGTCAGAAAAGCTCAAAGCAATGTGAGCCTTGCAGGTGTGGGCACTCACTGTGCAGAAGAGGGAAAGATAACTGCTGAGGGAGGGTATCACCCCACCAAATCGTGCTCCCCCGAAAAGCAGAAAGCACATGGAGGCACATGGAGGCCAAACGCAGCTTGCTGCATGGAGGACACCCAGAGCCCCGAAGGTGGGCTCCGTAGCTCTGTTCCTGCATGGAGGGGAAAGCTGCTCGTAGGAGCGTGACAGTGAGAGCAAGCACCATGTCCAAAGGGGCCCCGAGCCGACAGAGCCGGCTTCGCAGAGCACGCTACGCGCTCCCGCCGGCGGCGCGGGCGGGCCGGGCGGCTGTGCTCGGGGGGACGGGCTGGGGGCGGTGTTTGCAGCGCCGTGCCCCGGGGCGCCCCGCGGCGGGGCGGGACGCGGCGGAGGGGTCAGCGCGGCGCGGCGCGAAGCTGCGGGCGGCCATGGGGAAGCTGCTGGCGGTGGCTCTCGCCGGGATAGCGGCGGCCTTGGCGGTGGAGCGGCTGCTGGCCTTTCGGTGAGCCGGAGCCGGAGCGGCGGGGGCGAGCTGCGGGGCCCGGGTGAAGCGGTCGATCACGGGGGTGCGGGCAGCCGGGACCGGACCCCGAGCGGTTTGGGCTGCGGGGTGTCGGAGCTGCGGGCCCCGGTGCCAGCGGCGCGGGATACCCGCACGGGTGCACCCCTTCTCGGCACTTCGGCGCCGTATCTGGGAATTAACTTCAACGAGTTGCTGCTCTTGCACAAACGTGGTTATGGCCAAAGGGGAAGGGTTCATCGTCAGCATCATTGCCATCACTGCTGGGATGAAGGGAAACGGCGCTCTCCAGAGAAAACTAGGCACTTGCTCAGCAGTGCTCTTCTCGTCCTCTGTCAGGCATAAACTAACTTCAGGAGCGTTTGTCCAGTGGAAATGCCTATTGTGGTAACAGGCATGTGAAATCCTCCCCAGGAAGATGCTGGTGAGAGGGTGCCCTGGGGCAGGGGGGCTGATACCTCTGGTTTTGCAGAGGTCTGTGCCAAACCTTGTATCCGCAAGTTGACCTCATCTCCTGCCGACTGGCGAAACAGTATGTGGAAATCAGATTGACAGAAACCTATTTTCTCTCAGAGATGACCTCTGGATAACAATAGCCCCTGTGTACATGAGGTTTCCTCTGGAGGAGCATGGAATTCTGTGATTGTGAGTTGGGACCTCACTCGCTGTGAGCTAAAATACCCAGCCATATCATGCTCCGTATCGTACACCTCATATGATGAGGTGTGAATGTGAACATTGTTAGAGCAGCTTCTCTCCTGAAAGCTACTAAATACATCGCTGGTTGTTTCAGGCCAGAAAAGTGATGATGAGTTATTGTGTTGCAAGGCAGCTATGCCATTATAATTTTGCTTATGTCCACAAGGACTCCAAATGCCTGACTTCAAAGCAGTGACATCCAGTTAATTGGTTTTTGGGTAGATAGTAGTTACAGCTAATTACAGAGGTAGGGCTATACTCCTTGGACCCAGGTACCTGGCATGGATGTGTCCACATCTTGCATGAAATCCACCTCAAGTATTAGTGATAACCACGGTGGTAACGGGACCCTCCTGCTCTGGAGTTCCACAGGCTGGAAAACACACCCCAAGCTGTAGTGGTGTGAGCCATTTCAAAGCTCTGTGAAGAGCAGGGACCCCACGTCCCCTCCAAATCAAATGAAAAAATGCAATATTGGGAATCTGGTAAAGCAGGTAGAAAGAGGATCCCCATGCCTCAGTAGCTCTTTGAGTTTTTACTGTGTTGTGTTTTCAGCAAACTGCAGCATCGCAGCAGTCTTCAGGCGGTTGCAGAGTTTGGAAACACACAACTTCAGATCACACAGTACTCTATGATCATTTAGCACAGTCTTGGGAGGAGAAACTGTGGGTAGTGTTAACTCCTGCCAGGCCTCTCTGTTACCCATCCCCCAGAAGGCAGGAAGCCAGCAAAGCCTCCTTGCTGTTCCTTCTGAGATTGGTATGTTGGGTCTGTGTAGTATGACATGAATCCCTGAAATGAAAAAAAAGCTCGAAGAGTTGATACAGATCTCTTACAAACTTAGTTCTTCCTATATTGGGTCAGTTTATGCATCTATTATACTGTTGATAGCTATCAGATGTACTGGAGTAGGGTGCGTGCAGCAGAAAACAAGTGAAGTTCTGTGTGTTACAAACTGAAACTGCACTGATTCCTCCTTGGGCATTTTATATTTCTAATTCTTTGAAGAAAGGTCCGAGCTAATTTATAAATCTTGAATGTGAATTACACTGTGTTTCTGTTTTTCAATGTGCACATGGTGTTATTGTTCATATCTGTGTGTGTATATTTACGCACACAATGTTACCGTTTCATAACACTGTGTACCGATACAGCTCAGCTTGCATGCTAGGTTCAAAACTGCAACGTGCTTCCAGAAGGATGCTGGCGGTTTGAAAAGAGTTGGGAGCAAAAACAAAAGTAGGAGGTGATTTTCATTCCTGTCAGGGGAGAAACCCCTCAGAGATTCCAGGACTGGTTAGGCTAGAGGAGAGGAAAGCTGAAAGATAACGAGGTCTTTGAATATGCAACAGGTTGCAGCTGAAGGAAAGGGAATGGCTGTGGTCTGTGCCCCATGAAGCAGGACAGCGAGTGGAGGACTGAAACTGGAAAGAGGAGCTGAGTGGGAAAAGGTGCCGTGCACTGGGGTGGCACCAAGTAGCAAAATTCCTGCTTTTTTTTGAGTTGCATGCCCCACAGTTTGCAGGTTCGCTGTGTTTTTAGCATGGCCAGTTAGTTATCTAGGCCATCTGGCTTAGGAGCTGAGGCTGGCTGAGCTAGATAAACTGTCACATTTTGGAAAAGCCTCTCTATATGCTCCAGGCTTGTGACCAGCGTCCTTTTGAATAACTCTCATTCCAGCCCATAAAGTGTTTTGCTGGGAATGCTGTTGGGATATCATCATCCCTTGTTGGCTGCTGGCTGAGTTCCTGCTGTGCTTTTGGCTCTGCGTGGCTTGCAGTCTGCCCAGGAAAAGCTGGAGCAAATAGGAAAGGGAAAAGCCCTAAGCAGGCAGCGGTGCAAACTCAGGGCATGATCACCCCAAGCCACCCTTGAGGCCCAGTAGATTTGACTGTGCCAGAGGGGGGTGAGGGGGGCAGCTGAGATCCCCTCTGTGCTGCCTGTGGGCTAGGAGCCAGTGTACTTCTCTGTCGGGGCTCCTGAGCTGTGGGAGAGGGCTTGGGAGAGTTTAACTTGGCTCCTCTCCCTTGCTGTCCTCTGCCCTTTTTACCCTTTTTCTTCCTTTTTTTGTGGCCTTATGTTAAGAACCTGTGTCCGTGGTACAGCACTGAAGCAATTTACAATTCATAATTAAGTGATTAAAAACCATTCAGGGCTGACATACCATACAGTGCTCAGCTGTATCACATATTTTTCATACCACAGACTGGTACTGCTGTTTAGTTTATGTTTATGCCTAAAACTATAATATAAACATGGCTATGTTTTGCTATGGGATCTTTGCATTCAGAATTTCCTGTGGTTGGAGTAAGTACAGCCTCAACACGTGTGTATGATAGGCATGTGAAGGAATAGCTGTGTTAGTTTAAATGCTTTCTTTTGGGGGAAAAAAAAAGGAAGAAATATTCTAGTATGCTAGCTTGACATTTTTGCATGGAAACACGTTTTCTTATGGCACTGCAGACCAGCATGGTCAAACACCGCAATCCTGGTGGTGAGGTGCCTTTCATGTAGAATTGTATATGATTTGGAATGAAGGAGGTGGAGAAATAGAAACTCATGTGTAGTTACCTGTCTGTATCTGCTTGTCTAGTAAAGGATGAGCCAGCGGTCAGATTTTGTGGGCATTTAGCACTGCTGAAGGTTGATGCTCTGGGTGGGTACCAGGAGAGAAAAGAATGGGACAGGGTTAATTGCTGAAAGTGGTACTATCAACCAAGTCCTACCTGTGGTTGCTGCCTTGCAGCAATGCTATCGTTGCATTTGAATGTGGACTAAGAAATGAAGAAAGCACAACTGCTGGTGGCCTGGCCACCAAAAACAGCTGGTGGGTTGGGGTAGAAGGTCGCCCTCTCGTCACCTGAAATGCTGGTTCTAACTGTGGGGTGCTGCTATATTTAGGTGGCTGAAACCTGAAGAAAGAGTGGCTATGTTATTTTATCATTTGAACCACAGTGGGTCTTGAAAGACTGTTTGTGAAGCTCACGAACAAAGTCAAGTTCCTGAAGTTACTCAGTGTAGGAGAACCACTTAATCCCTGCACATGTGATTTGGAGCAATTGCTGTTGTCAGTTCTGGGTTTTGCTTATTCAGTGTTTTACTGGCTGTTTTGTCGCTGTGATATGGCAGACATTAAAACTAGGTTAAAGCAACGCTAGGAATGTTACCTGTTCTAAAACTGGCTGTGTGCTGTTAACCCCGCTCTTTCCTCTTGCAGGAACAGGCTCAATGCTTCACGGGAAATAGCCCCAGTAACCCTCCCGAACTGCCGGCTCATTAAAGGGATTGGTACGTGCTGAAAATAACCGAGTGCATTGCTTTTGTCCAGCCTTATTTTGCAACTGCTTCTGAAAGCCAGCTTCCAAGCCTGATCCTCAAAAGAAAGCGCTAATTTGGCTTTCATTTGTTACTTGGACTTTGAGGTAGGGAGAAACTGCAGGAAGAAAACTGTATTGAAAACCTAGCTAGTTCGGTATAGCACTTCTTGCCCTTGGTATTTGCATTTCTGCTCCATGTCTTTGCAAATGAGTACCTTGCACACACCTGTCCTTTGCTAAGGCACTCAGGAAATTATTTGGCTTTAGGTGAGGGTGTGCTAGCTCTTCAGGCGGGCGCCTACAGGTGGCTGTCAGCTAGTGACAGATTGAAGCCAGGACATGCTGCAAGGGTGGAAGCTTTCGGAAGTGGACTCAGGCATGTGCCAAAGGAGAGGCTGGTAAATGCCGACCAGGATCCCCTGCCTTAGCGCCTCATTTTGCAGAGATTTAGGAGCGGACTGGTGCCACCCCATGCAAACAGCAGGCAGGAGCTCGGTGCAGTTGTGCAATGCAACTGCGTGGTTTCCAAGAGCAAGGGGTCATATTTGACTTCTTAGTATGGTTTGCGAAGAGGTTTAACACAGTGGCTGAAATGTTGACTTTGTACTGTGGGTCATGTGTTCAGCACACAGCAATGTTTCTAGTTTGGATTTTCTTTTCCTTTAGGATAACCAGAGTATCAAATGGATAGTTTCACAATTGATAACTTACTTGTGTCTCCCTTTCCTCCAAATTTTAATTTTTGAGCTTAACACAGGTTTAATAGCTGGGGGTTTTCTCTTCCTTAATATTTTCTCAAATGTCTTGAACTCTGTTGAATTTTGCCTGGATTTTGCATGTGTCGTGGGGTGAGATTTGCCTTTGAGTTTGCTGAGTACTGTGTTGATTTCATAAATCTTGCTTCTTCTTTATGTCAGGTATCAAACATCTTTGCAAAGTCAAATTACTGCCGTGAATGAGCATGAGTAGAGTTCCTTTGCCTGAGGTTGTGCAATGAAGAAACCGCATTTGAAAAAACTTTCCAGGTCTTCTGGATTGAGCTATAATTTACTCGTACGAGAGACTGAACAATGATGGTGATTAATATAAAAATAATTTCTGAGTAATTTGCTTAAGCATCTCACTATTGCAGTCTTTACAAGACTTTTTGCAACATGATTGCCCTGTTGAGGAAAGAAGGAAAGCTGGGAATCGCTAATACAGTTGTGTTTAATTTCCAGACTGTATCTCATTTTTGGTGGTTGACATTTACATGGAGATGAGGTGAATTCTGAGAACCCGGCTGTGCTCAGAGGTGGCAGTGGATCAGTTTACAGAGCTTCATTTCTGCTTCCCGCTGGGCTCTCGTAGCAGTGTGCCTTCATATGGAGCTCTGCACCTTGCCTTGCCTTTGCTCTGTTGTTTGCTGCTCCTCAGAAAAGTTAAAATGCCAAAAAATAATTCAGTGGAAAGACAAATAACAAAGGATTTGTGGAAACTTAAGAGTTGCATGTTCATGCAAATGTCTTCCAAAACTCATTTACTGTGGGTAAAGGGGTTATATTACCCAGGGAGCCCAAGAAGCCCTAAAGTCTGGATCCTGCCTAGGTAGCACTATTCAGATGAGGGGTTTTGCTGTACTCAGCTATGTAAGGTTGCTCCTGTGGGTGACTTCGTGTAAAGATATCTTTCTACATGGATATCTTGGCCTCCTGGGCCTTTTTCTTGAATAAAGAAATCTGTTTTTATGTTTAAAACAATCCTTCTGAACTGTTAAGCGGGACATAGGTAATGAGCTCGATCAGCTCTGAACAAAATAATCTTGGAGTATCCATTTTGTATATAAAAGAACAGGAATCTGGTGCAGCCGAGTACAATTATGTTAAAAGCAATGCATCCATAGTAAAGCAAGCAAACTCAGAGTAGGTAGGAAAATTCTCTAGTGTACCCTTTTCCATCCTTTCTGTATCACTATTTATTAAGACACTGATCTCTTCTGCTTTTTGAATATTGTGCAGTGTAAGCACAGATGCAAACACTGAACAAACCAATAAAAAAGTGCAGCTTGTCCTAACCCTCATTTCACAAATAGGTAGGAAAGTCTGTATTTGTAGAATGAACAGTATCTTCTGATTTTACTGGTGTCTAACCATGTTACTGGTTTATGATAAAATAACCATACTAACTCCGAAAGTTGAAGAAGCTGCTCTAAAAACTGCTGGAAATACTTGCATCTTAGGGCAATTCATGGGATATAGGTGAAAGTCATTTACTTTTGGACATGAAATCTAGGTTGGTTTATTGTTAGATGCACCTGTGGAATACATCATACTAAGATAAAATACAGAAGAGGAGAAAAGCCCCAGACATTTCTGTGGTAGGCAGTAATTTTTCTTGGTATCTTTATTTTTTAAAACATCTCAGATAATCCCATGGATTGTATCTCAGTGGTACAATTTTGCAGTACAGTGTAGATAAGGGATACCTCATAAATCAGGTCTTAGTTCTCCTGTCCCATATAGTGCCTAAAACAGCAGCTGAGAGCCCTCCTAAAATGGGGCCCCCAGGGAGAGCCCGGGAGCTTCCCTGTGTCCGACTGTGTGTCTCCCTCCCCTCCTTGCTGCCTCAGCAGTGCCAGCTCACTAGGATGGAGCTGAATCAGCATTTCACTGCTCTTCCAACAGTGCTTGCTCTCTTTCCCGCATACAAGGACATGGCTGAGAAGTGGCCAAAATGTACTTTACTGGGCGGTTTCTTTCAGAGTAGTTGGGTGCAGGGCTCTGGTTATCCCTCTTTCACCAGAAACTTGTGGGTTTTAAGCATCTGCTCCCAATTAGCCTGCTCATCCTTCTGCTTGGAGCCTCACTAATTCAATAGCCATAAATGATTATATCTCTTTTATATCTCTGTTTATTCAGTCACCAGAGTGCTCTGCTAGTAAATGCTGTCTGTCCAGCTTATGTCACTGTGGCAGTTGAGCATCTCAGCATTTATTGATATTGTTATCTTTGCAGCAGTCCTGAGAAGTGGGGAATTGCTGCTGATCCCGTATTATAAATGAGCCCAGACTTGGAGAGACCAAGAGCTGGGGCAAAGAAAAGGAGCTCTTTGCTGAAGCCAGGGTGTGAGCTAAGCTGAAAAAAAACCAACCCAAATTCAAAATTTTAGTTGGAAAATGCAGGTTCTGAGTGTCTCTTGGCACGTCAGTGCATGTGTCTGCCTCCTGCCTGAGCCCAGGCACAATTCAGGACACAAACCCAGGTCAGCTCCCACTCAAAATGCATCTTCAGACCTTTGCTCTTCCAAAGGCAGAGATGCTCTGCTTTTTAGTGTAGTGGGGTGGAGTAGGGGTTTGCTGAGGCTGAGGGGGAGTTAGCCCTGTCCCCTCTCCGTACAGCAAAAGTCATGACACCATGTGTCACCAGAGCTGAGCTGGGGAAGGACTTGCCTGGGTGGGCGAATTTGGGGATCTGGTTCCTCTGCACAAGGGCTGTTTGGTGTCCCCAGGATGAATTACAGCCTAGCAGAATTAGCCTGGGATAAGTAAGGGCTTCATAAGAGCTAATAGTAAACCAGCTCGAATTTGAAGGCACTTCCTTGGGAGGAGGTGCCGAGGTGCTCTATGACCAAGCAGGAGAGGATGTGAAGAGATGGGACAGGCTGGGTGGAAAACCTTTGTGCTGGCAGCTCTGTTAAAGAAAACAGGCAGAACAGTTTTACTTCCTCCTTTAAGCAAATGCTCTGGTTGGATTTAATCCAGCCGTTGTCTGGAAGGTGGCTTGTGGGGAATGCTGTTTGTGTTGGTGATTTGGAGAAGAAAGGGTAGGCTTCTCAGGAGAGTGGCAAAAATGTGGGATGGCAAATGTACTTCAGCACCAGACTAAAAGCTCTGTGTAGTATGTGTATGGTTGGTCAAGGCCTAAAGTTGTTCTAGTGTTCTTACTAAAGAATTTTATATTTCATAGTCTATATTTTATAGTTCATAGTTCATAGTTTATATTTTATATTTTGTTTTATTTTATAAATTTAATTTAATTTTTAAAATTTAGTTTACTTTTATTTTCTGTATTTTATATTCCTAGCAGGGAAAACTATTACAGGAACTACAGGAACTGACAATATTGGAAATTACTACCCGCAATTAAAAGTGTGGTCTAATTGTTAAAGCCCTTAGCTGTTAAAGATATAGTAGGTTCCGAGTCACTTGAGAGCTTTAACTAAATATTTGGCAATCCATCTTAGTGAAATTTCTCAGCTGAGCTGGAAGAATTAGTGTGTGCAATTCCCAGAGCTGCCTTATGCAAGCATGTAGGCTGAGTGATGGGTATGGTCCTGCCCTGGAAATCTCATCCTCTGCACTGCTTGCTGCAGAACACTATTGTCAGAAGGCGGTGATTCATCCCACACTGCCACAGGGCACGCGGAGCTGGCTGAGAGACTGGGCACCGTGGGGGCACCCTTAAACCCCAGAAAGAGGTGAACCCCAGTACTGTTTCCTAATCTGTGTGCTGCTGCCTTCTGCTGCCAGTTCTTATGCAATGTGATCTTTTCTGCTGAGCTTCATCACGATGTTCATGAGAGCTGGAATTGTACTATAAAGGTGTTTTTTTCAATGGGAAATACTTAATGTTGTCTGAAAAATCCTGCTTATCCCTGTCTTGCAGAAAGTGGTTCTGAAGACATTGACATACTTCCCAATGGACTGGCTTTCATCAGCTCTGTAAGTGCCCATGCCCCCTCCCCACGCAGGGATTTGCCTGCTTCCTTATCTACAGAAGCTGTAGGTGGAAACTGCAGATAGACTCTTTCTTCTACAAGACTGTCTGGCTCCGTAGGAACAGCCCAAATCTGCCTGACCTTAGGTGGCATTTCGTGACTCAGCTTAGCTTGGCCTCTGCTTGAGCAAGTCCACTTCTTGACACAAGTGGTGGTGATGGCTCTGACACATGTAGCCTATTGTGCTGGCTTAATTGTCCATGTAACCTTGAATTCCTTCCACGTTGCTTCCTTGAAGTCTCCCTTGTTAGGGTGTGTTAACTCGCTACCTTTAAAAAAAATTGGATTATGTGTATTGATTTGGTTGTTCCCAATGTTTTCTTTTTAGCCTCTGGGAAGTAGATTTTCAAGCTTTTCTTTGCAATCAGGATGGCTAGCGGTTACTTTCTAAAACAGAAGCTGATGTTTTGAGCTACATGTTCCAGGGATAACCCAGGGAATTATAATGTTCCAAATTCTTGTGAGCTGTCACGCTGCTACTGTTCCTCCATGGCTTTACCACGCTGGACACAGTTGGTGGTGCCGTACTTCCAGTTTGTCCCTGCTGTCTGTTTGGCACACAGGAGCACCCAATCAGGTGCTTGGTGGTGCATTGGGCATGGCACACTGTGCTCCCCACACAGCCTGCTCGCTCTGGGCTGCAGTTCAGGGCTCGCCAAAGGGAGCAGAGCCAGTCCCTCTATCTCCATCACGGCATGGTGTGCTGAAGCAGAGGGACATCCTGGTGCGTGCTTGCATGCCCAAACAAGGCTCCAGCGTTTTCAGCCCTGTGATGCTTCCCGTTACCTTTGATCCAGGAATTATATTGATTTTACAGGGCTTGAAATACCCAGGAATAAAGAGCTTTGCACCAGACAAGCCAGGTGAAATATTTTTGATGGATTTGAATGAAGACAATCCCAGAGCAGTGGAACTGAGAATCAGCCGAGGGTTTGATCTGGCATCCTTTAACCCTCATGGAATCAGCACCTACGTAGACAAAGGTAAAGAGATCTTTAGCTTGAGGTGGTGGCAAATCTCAGCCTAAAGAGCACAAGCAGAAATCCCTTTGCAGCCTTGCATTGCACCCCAATATCCTGTGCTTGCTGGGAGAGAAGAAGGTTTTGGGGTTTTTATCTTTGTTGGGCTCTTTTCTAGATGTTGGCTACTAAAGCAAACACCTTCGAACGTAATCTAAGGCTGTCTGAGACAGAAGGATGTCCTGTATACTAAAAGGAAAGAAAATGTGGGTTAAGTTTGAGGACTTGAAAGCAGCGCAAACCAGTTTACATCTGTCTTACCCTGGGGGCAAGGGTTTTGTGGAGACATGTACTTCACTGATGAGTAGTGACGAGAATGAAGACTTCTGTGGCTAAACAGTAAATTATCAATTCTCTGTACATGACCAAAATCCCTGGTACTCTGTTGCTAAGCCACGTTCTCCTCTCCAAGACATGTTTTCCTATGGCAGGCTCTGACTGCCAGTAAGATATCTCCTTCATGCTCTCCTTCCTCTCTTTTCCCCTGCCCTGTTCTTCACTGGGTATTTTAGCAGAGCAACTAGAAGTCTGCAGACTTTAAGAGATTAAAGAGAACCATTGCTGCAGCTTTACCTGTGTCCCTGTACAGTCACCCTTTCAGGGAAGGTGTTGGAGAAATCAGTGGTGGCTTATCTAGAAGGGTGGGGCAGAAGAACTACAGCCTTACACAGGGTATGGGAGCAGGATGCTCCTTCAGCATTCTCAAGAGATGAGGTAAATAAACCAAAGAGCCCAAAGGGTCTGTGCTACAAGCCCTCCTTCCCAGCTGACTGCTGCTATTCATGCAACCACTCACTGTAGTGCGTCAGATTAGAAAACCTAGTGGCTTGGGCACAAGGAGGAAGCCATGATTTCTTTCTTCCTTGGTAGAAATAGCAAACATAGTTTACACAGCAGTTCCCGCTAGAGTGAGCCCAGAGGAAGAGTATCTGGACATCTGGACCCAGTTGCAGAGGCATCCTGCATTACTTTGGTACTTGTCCTTCCTTTGAAGAGCCCTGAGACAAGTGCACCAAACCCCACATGTGCTGTGTATGAGAGTCTGCTTCAGGGCTGTGTGTGCCCAGCCGTACAAACTGTTGCAGAGAATTCAGCTGTTTCCATTTCTTTCTTTAAGATGACACCGTGTACCTCTTTGTTGTGAACCATCCCCATCAGAAGAGCACAATAGAGTTGTTTAAATATGTGGAAGATGACAATTCTCTTGTGCACCTGAAAACCATTCGACATGACCTTCTGACAAGGTACTGGAGCCAAATACTATCTTCGCCCAGAAGAACAAGGCTGCTTTGGTAAAACCCAAAGCAGGATGATTTTGGTCTTAGGGTATTATTAATATGAGGTGCTTTCTCTTTAACCAGCTTTCCTGTTTCTCTCATTGATTACTTCTTATCTGTGTAATCAAAAAATGTGTTTCTCCAATCTCTTCTGTAAATGAGATTTTTACTAGTTGTATCACTAAATCAGCCTTAAGTGCCACTGTGATTGATGCAGTGAATTAGCTTGGCATCCATTTCTCCTTCTGTCATGTAACCCAGTCTCAGGTCATTGCAGATGTGACTCTTCAGATATTCTATTATACTGAATTTGCCACACTGTGAAAACAAACATACTTTTATCTTCCTGTTTTGTGGCACACAAAATTTTCTTGGTCTGTACTACTGCAAAATGATTGTAAAATAAACAGAGCCCAGTAGGTGAAGGTGTCACAACTCCTACCTGTTCTCTGGTTCCCAGTTGAATGTAATCAAAAGAGAGAAGAATTTCCATGGATTTATGGACAGGTAGCCAAATTTCTAGCTGACGCCCTATAGTCCTGTTCAGGTCTTAGCCCTGCAGAGTCCTGGGTCATATAAAAGAAAACAGAAGTAAAAAAGATGTAAATATATATATGTCTGTATAAAGCGTCTGTAATTACAGCTCCTTTATGTTTATAGGATGACCATGTCTTCCATGGTTGGATTCTGGGCAATCCTAAAACACTCCTTCATACCACTCACTTCATTCTTTTATTGATTTTTCTCCCTCCCTTCTTATTTCTTTTAGCGTGAATGATGTGGTAGCTGTGGGACCAGACAGCTTCTATGCTACCAATGACCACTATTTCTCCGACTTCGTCTTGATGTTCTTGGAGATGTTCTTGGGTTTAACTTGGTCAAATGTTGTTTACTACAGTCCTAAAGAAGTGAAAGAAGTAGCAGCTGGGTTTTATTCAGCCAATGGAATTAACATTTCACCTGACAGAAAGTAAGTGTCTCCTTACCTTAGGTTTTGCTTGATCACACAAAAGAATCCTTAAATCCTAGTTTGTACACACAGTACCTCTGTGGTCAAGTGTATGAAGTGGCTCATGTAAGGCAAGGGGCTGCCTGTACAATGTAAGTGATACGGAGGGTTTGTAGGACAGAAGTCATGTGTCTCAGGCTTCAACTAACGGCAGTGTTTGCTGCTTTGCGAGGTGGTTTATATGCAGTAAGGTCAAAGGTTGCTGCATTTGAACCAGCCAGTACAGCAGTTTGTGTATATTGCTTGCAAGGATTAACAAAGCAGGGTTTGTGCCAAGTGGGGAACTCCGCAGCGTTGAAGTCTGCATGACTGAGAAGTACCCAGTGCTGAGGTGCAGATAGGTGATTGGAATTAAAACCCCAGCATATTTGTGGATCTCACAATCCAAGGTCTGCTTCAGAGTTGTAATGGAAGAACTGGCACAGTCTGAAGCTACAGTAGTGTCTCAGCAGGTTGGCTTCAGTTCAGTGCCCTGTGGCCTGCTTGCAATATCTGTTGCTGCAGGGGAGCTGAAAGCTGGCATTCCTCATGGGAAGAGCTGGGCTTGCACAGGAGGATCTGGCTGGTTTTGGTGTCTCCTTACTCATACACATTGCTAAGAGGTGCTTTCTTTTGAAGGTTCATCTACATTGCAGATATATTTGATCATAATGTCCATGTTATGGAAAAACATGCAAATTGGAGTTTAACCTATGTGAAGGTAAGGTGCTGCTGTTCCATTAATAAAAAGGCACAGTAAATTTTGGACAGATTAGTCCCCATGAGTGCTTTCAACCTGATACGTGTGCAGTTCCAGTCTGGGTGGCTCCTGCTGTGGGTTTGCAGAGGTGCTGTGTGCCCCGTTAAACAGCTTCAGGTCTTCCTGAAGTCACACCAGCAACCAGAGAGGGATCTTCGGATGTGCTTATAGATCTGCAGAGGGAGTCTGGCTAAGTCAGTGTGGGTCAAAACACAAAGCTCTGACTGAAGTAATCAACACAAGTGTAGGTGTGAATGAGGTGATGGGGGAGCAGCAAGCAGGTTTCTCATGGCACAGAAAGGGGGATGAAGCACCCAGGGGGAAAAGAAATGTAGCACTTGGTGGGGGGGGGAAATATTTCTTAAAAACTCAGTCTAAGCTATGTCAGATGAGAGTCTTGGACGAGTCTATTGGTCACGTTGTAGTTTGCTTCCAGGACCTCTGATAGCTTTAACTCCCCTTTTCTTGTTTTGCCTCTGTGCTCGATAGAAGCTGCAGCTGGACACTCTGGTCGATAATTTGTCTGTTGACCCATCCACTGGAGACATCTGGACAGGATGTCATCCCAATGGGATGAAGCTCCTCTACTACGATCCTGAAAATCTGCCTGCTTCTGAGGTGCCTTTTGTGAAACGTCGCTGGTCTCTTGGCTATGTCTGTGCCAGAAAGTTGCTCTGTTCAAACCACCCTGGTATAACTTAACTCTGCATTACGCAGAGAAGTGCCTGCCCAGCCTTTGTGAAAGCAAAGACCAAGCTGTCCTCCAGCTTACAGCTTCTGCTCTCAAATGGAAAGCCGGAACAACGTTTATCCACTAACAAACACCTATTCAGATCCTCAGGAGACAGCTGAATAATTTCCACACAGTAGCTGAGTCATTCTGGACTCCTCGGGCTGCTTTATGTGCGGCTTTGGCTGTGCAATCACACTTAGATGAACAGTAATTACCGAGCCAGCACCTCTTTCCAAACAAAAAGTAGTTGACTGAGTACAAAGCGTGACCAGAAATACTCACACTGGAATGATTTATCTGTGCAAGTGTGGCTCATCAGTAGGTGACACTGTAATTCTTTCCTTCTGAAATCAGTGAGGTACTGGTATCAGAGTGCTCTTACAGGTGGCTGGTTGGTACCTGTTTGATTTCAGCCTTGGCTGAGGCTTCCCATAAGACACATTTCAAAACTATCATGTTCCATAGCAGTAGATTTATGGTACCAGGCAGTTGTTTACTCTCTGGAAAAAGCATGAAAATAAGAAGGTATTAAGTAACTCTTAGGCTGGAAAAACGGCACATTCCTAGTGTCTTGCTTACGTACCGAGGTGGAGTCTCTGTTGCGCAATCACTTAAAATAATAATCAGTGTTCAGGGACCATACTTCACTGGAGCAGAACTGTATCCCTGTAACAGGGATCTCGTGGCTGCAGTTAGCAGCAGCTGATCAACGTAACCCGTGTCTTTAAGTTAACATACCAATGTGCCCTCCATCCATGGAGAATTCTCACCTGCGGCTGTCTCAGCAGCTGTATCCCCCTCCTCCGGCAGGTCCTGCGCATCCAGAACATCCTCTCAGAAGAGCCTGTGGTGACACGCGTCTATGCCGACAATGGCTCCGTGCTGCAGGGAAGCTCCGTGGCATCCGTCTACGAGGGAAAACTGCTCATCGGCACAGTCTTCCACAGAGCTCTCTACTGTGAGCTATAGCTTGCTGCGGTAAGATCTGCTGAAGCGGGAAGGATTTAGTTCCTTGGGAACTCACTTAGTCTCTGCTAGACTTGCTAACAAGAAGTCTGTTCCAATAAAGGTAACTAGAGTCATGGAAATGTATCTTAGTCTTCCTCTCCAAAATAAGAGTTCTATGCAATAGTCAAGGAAATTGAAGGTGAGGAATTAGCTTATTTGTGCAATGGGAAGGACCCCATGCCGGTAACAAAGGGTAACCTAGAAATTCAAGTTCAGAGTACAGATGGCTAGACTGTCAGACACTGAATTATCTGTTGCTACTGGAGTTGTGGATTTTGTTTGTTTGTTGTTTTTTTTTCCCCCAGAGAAAACTTGATTTTGTAAATGAGAATTGCTGACTACCAGTGTGGTATGCTTTCTTGTCACCAACCGCTGGCCTGGCACTGTGCTGAGGGTTCTTCTTCCAGATCCTCCTGTCAGCTTTCCCTAATGCTTCTGAAATAATTGAAAGGAGAATAAATGTTACTTCAGTCTCATTTCTTCCCTCTTCCCCCTTCAAGGTATTTTCCACCATCACTTCAGTTCCATAAATCTGTCTTAATCCGACTGCGAAAGAAAAGGGTGCCACTTGGGAGTGGTTTCTTACTGAGTCGCCCAAAGGGAGTTTAAAAAAGCCCTTTTTTTCTTAAAGAGTGGGGAACAACTCCCAGGCACCTTCAGTGAAAAGTGCATTCGCAGTTACTGGTGTCTGTCACAGCACAGGGAGCATTTCTGGGTGCTTTGCCACAGCGACAACCCCCGAGTGTTGGTTACACATGTTGTGTTTAACCTCCCTTCCGCATAGAGCCGATTCCCACTGTGCTTCTGTGCATCAGGTACCCACTGCATGTTTATCCAGCAGCAGTTACTGATAGTGTTGTGCACTGCTAGAAGACCTCGCCAGGATTCCATCAGCTGGTGATTGTAGAATGGTGTTAGTTAGCAATCACTTGCAATAGACTGAATTGTGTAGTTTTGAAGTTGGAAATAGGTTTTGTGCTGTCCAGTATGCGCAGCAAGACTCCAGTCTGGCCAAAGCCCTTGTTTGAGCCACCACTTGGTTTCCTTGCATTAGTATAGACACCCTTACCCACAGAGTAGCTCCTTCTGCTCTTGTTCATCCTCTGAGTTCGCAGCTCTGGTTTTGTGAGACGCCATAGAATCATAGAATGGTCCTTAAGATCGTCAAGTTCTAACCCCCCTGCCATGGGCTGGGACACCTCACACTAAACCATCTCATCTCAGCCTGGCCTTGAACAGCACCAGGGATGGAGCATTCACAACGTCCCTGGGCAGCCCATTCGAGTGCCTCACCACCCTTACAGTAAAGAATTTCTTCCTTATATCCAATCTAAACTTCCCCCATTTAAGTTTGAACCCATTACACCTTGTCTTATCACTACAGTCCCTAATGAAGAGTCCCTTCCCAGTGTTCTCATAGGCCCTCTTCAGATACTGGAAGGCTGCTATGATGCTGACATCTAGCTAAAGTCTTGGTGTCATTGGTGGTGGCCCCCCTGCTGGGGTTGCTGCTGTGCTGCCTGCGCTGGCACCTCTTAGAGGCTTGGCTGCCTCTCTGAATGATGTCACTGGACAGACCTTCCCTGGGAGCCACCATTCCCTCTGCATCCTTCCTCTCTGCTGTCCTTTCACCCCTGCGTGGAGAAAAAAGGCAGGCTGCTTGTGAAGTGTGAGCTCAGGCGGAGAAAGAGCCAGTTCCTGGGTGCTGATTGATGTTCTAGCTTTGCAGTTCCCTCCTGCAGTGTGCTTCACCATCAGCCACAGCACCTTCTAATCTGAAGAGTACATGGGAAGTCCAGTATTTGGAAAACCCAGGAGTGCTTCTGCCTGCAAGATAAATAACCTGTAAATAACCTGTTCTGTAGCAGCTTGAACACGGAGACAGGAGCCAGAGTATGTGCAAACCATCGCCTGTGTTTGGGTCTTCTGGCTGCGAGGAGGCATGACTGCAGGCTAAGGTTTGGGTGAGCAGTAGCCCTGAACAGTGTGTGCTGGCACCTTTTGGCTCCTGCGCCGTGCCTTTCGAATACAAGCCTAATGCCTTTCATCCACTGGTATAAGGAGTTCCTGCTCATTCTGCTAGGCAAAGGGACAGCTCTCACCAGAGCAAGGAGTCAGTGCCAGAGCTCGTGGCTGGGGCTGCATTTCTGTGTGAGAGGGACAGTGCCATCCCCCTTCCTCTGCACAGCTGCAGTGAGCTGTGGGTCTTGCCACATCACCTCCCGTCCCTGGAGAGTATCTGCTCCAGCCAGAGCCCCTGCGTGCTGCTGGCTCACAGGCACAGACACTGGTGTAAGGCACGTCCCTTGTTCTGAGAGGTTCAAGAACTGGGCCAGCGGCGCGTCAGCTTGATCACTGCGTCCTTCCTGATGGCGGCAGCTTCCCACTGCTGCCGTGCCAGGCAGCTCTCACTGTGCACAAGAGTGGTGCTGGTATTTGTGATGTTCTGACTACAAATAGCACATGCTGCAGGGGTCTAGTGCTGGCTAGAGGGGCAGACTTGAGCATTAGGGTTAACCATGCAGCCAAGTGAGCCAAGTGACCTTGTATCTTGGGCAAGGCCCTGCACTGGCAGGTCTGTATACAAACTGTGTTTGTAGCTCCCTTCCAAAATGCCCACAGTCATCGTGGGGACCTGAGCGCTGCCCAGGGTTCACTGTGTGCCTATGAAGACTCTGGTGACAGGGACTCATCTGTTCAGATTGTGGTTTCAAGTCTTTTGCTAACCATGACATGCAGACAGCCCTTCCACAGAGCTGAGCTGGCCCTGAATGAGGGCGCCTTTTGTCTCGTGGCTTTGCTGGACCTGCTTTTGGCATCAGCTGAGTGCACCAAACACTTGAGAACAGAATTTACCGTAGCTCTGGCTTTGCTGCTCCTTCCTTAGCAACTTCTCTCCCTGCAGGACATTTTCAGCTTCCCTGAGAAGTGATGCGCTTTCCTACAGGAATTTGTAATCCGTGTTCAGCCTCGAGGAGCAGATCTTATTCCTAGAGCCCAAGCAGAAAAGCTGCCCTGAAGGAAGCTCTCACAATAAGGAGAGAATGGGCTATTAACTTGTTTGTGATTAGCCATCTTATACTAGCCTTTTAGAATAACCATTAGGCTGTTGCCACTGTTTGTTCTCAAATCAAGTGCCACCTGCTAAAGAACTGGAGTTTTGCAGCAGTGGCAGTAACAGCTGAAATACCAGCCGGTTGCTCTGCCGGTCCTGGGTTTACTCTATGGTTGTGGAATCATAACAACCAGCATTTCCCTCAGCAGTGGTAGAAGTAACCCATCAAAACATTAATTTCACATTTTCCAGTAGCTTCAAACATCTTCAGGAGAGCAAATCTACACGTTGTTGGATCTTTCAACCTTCTACTTTTTTGTTGGGTTTTGGCCTTTCAGAAAATCATGTTTTCACTTGTCACTGGATTTTGATTTTTCCCCTCTTTTTTAAACCGTTCCTGTAGTGGAGGTTTTCCCAGCAGTCTGCCTGCAGACAGAAACATATGCAAGCGATTGGCCTTTTCTTTTCCTAAAGCATTTGAGAAGAGAGAGATCATAGGTAGGACTTAGTACCTGCTGCCACTGTGATTTTTACTAATAGCAAAATTTTTAATAGTATTTTTAAAATTATTTTGATAATTTTAATAGTAATAACTGTTGCTAATGGTAAAATTTTGAATTTTAACCTGAGGCAAGTAGCTTGGAAGCCTGTTGTCAACCTTTAAGGGTGTCCCAGCCTCGCAGTGCAGAACTGGGAGTTGAAGCTGAGCCAGCATGCATGAAAATGGTACTGGGCAGGACACAGACAGCAAGCATGCATTCTGCAGCAAAATCAGTGCTGGGCAGAGCTTCTACCCCTGAGCATGAAATCACCACTTGATGAAACTCACCATCAATCAGTCTCAGTGTGGAAACAGCAATGGAGGAAGATGCGCCTCAAGCCTGGCCTCACAATGACAAGGTGACCTGCACAGGGCAAATGTGGGTTTGCAGCCTGGAGGAAAGCATAACCCATCATCTTTTACGAACTGTAGAGCCTGGAGCAGTTCTGGCCATTTCAGACACCAAACTGCAGGAATCTGAGACCACTTTGCACAAACAACGGGGACATATGTATAGACAGCTCCAGGCTTAGGAAGCTGCTGAGCAGACACATTTTACAAGCCAGTCATGAACTTAACAGCCCTTAACATACCTATTTTAATTAAGATAATAATTAAGGTGGTACCCATATTAGCAGAATGTAAGCTTTATGGCTCCGCTGCTGGGAAGCACAGACTGGGTTAGAGAGATTAAGTGCAGACGAGTATTTGGCCTAGATTCTGCCAGATGCAAATCCACTGAAATGACTACACAAATTGGACAATCTGTGCCCTCTGCTTTCTCCAAGTTAATGCTTTAATAAAATAAAATAAGCAAAGACATATTAAACATGCTTAGCAGAAGAACTGCTGTTCTTTGAACGTATAAAATGGCCATTATACCTAACCTACATTTAAGTGTAAAACTGTAAAATGTTTCTATATACCATAACTAATCCAGGTCTTTTGAACAGACAAACATGGACCAGCATCTGTGTGAAGGCAGCCTGTTTTTACTGCACACTACTTTTTATCTGCAGATGAAGAGAGAAGGCCATTCCCTTTCCCTACTGTATTGTCTTTTTTACTACTTTTTACGTAATTACAGATTGTAAATGAGACCCACTTGGAGGCCTGTGAATGGTGCCAATTTAGCCAAGAGCTGGGATTAAACTAATCTTCAGCACTGAGCAGAAGGAAGGAAAGAACGAGCAGGGCAAGGTCCATATCCCCCTTCACCCCCCCTTATAACCCATGCAGCAACAGCTGTCCAGTTGTGCTCACCAGTGTTATTTCTCCTGGTATGCCCAGGGGCAGGAAAGTGAGGACTCAATACAAATTCTAATAAAGATTCTGGATTTCTCATTTTATTGCATTCGTTGTCTAACAACAACACTCATTGGCAAGAAATTTATTTACACTAACAAATTAACTTGAAACCACAAGGCTTTGTTGTTTGTATTTAAACCGTAAGAAAACAAAGGGCCACCACGATGGTTTGCTTTGATGTGTCCCAATAACTAAATATTAACCAAGGTTATTTTGGGGAAAACGCAACAATCTAGAGAAGTTCATATCAACCAAGCACAAGAGAACAAGCTCAGACATGGCACTACTGTGTCTTCCATGCAGATGATCAGACACCAAGATGTACAAAGAAAAAGTTCAGGATAACATGCACCTCTATACACCTGGCCTCTTTAAAAAGACAAATGAAAAAGGAAAATATCTGAAGCGCAACCACTTCTTCAACCATGTAAAAAGAAACAATATAAGAAGCCATTTTTTACAGTGAGCACAGTGCATGTGAGTCTTTTAGCTGCCTGGTTTCCTAGCAGTATGTCTAACTCTTCAGACCAGTGAGTTACCATTGCAACGTGACTGGAAAATAGGAAAGCAGTTGTTCAGATGGAAAGTGTGTATGGAAGAGTATAGTCAGAAGAGATTCACCATGCACTCCCCACTTCCAAATGGGCTGGTGGCTCCTTACGTCTGGTACTCTGGGATCCCTTTTCCTTCAGGTGCTTCTGCACCGGTACCTGAACCCGCTCCACTGGTGTCAGTGGGAAAGGTCCCACTGAAAACCTGGCAGGAGGCTGAGGGTCCTGGGTTATGTGGGTTGGACCCAACCTCAGGAGCTGTGAGCCCTCCTCACCCCGCTCTGTAAGAAGCAACCTAACTCAGCAGACCCTATGGCTTGTTCTTAACACAGTCCAAACTTCCCAAAGAAACAGGCAGCTCAAGGCACCACCGCCAAGCCTTGCAGCAAGAGGTGCATTTTTTAAACCATCACTTCATGCCGACAGCAAAAGTACCAGTTAGTACTGCTGTAAGTAACAGAAAACTCGTTTTATAATGAGGGACTGACTGGAGGGCTCAGTGTCATGCTGAAGATGTCACAGCTTTGAAAAATCAGTTTTACAGGTGGAAAAAGTGCTGCAAGATCCATACAGGAGGTTAACAAGAGGGACTGTGTGATGTGCATATGACCCACACTCCATTGTGGTGAATGTGTAAGTCACCTCAGGTGTCACTCACAATCCTGTTCAAAAACGAGCTGCCGAAAGAGCTCCAAGAGAAATCAAAAGTTAGGGCTTCAATTATAAAAAAGGGTTTCCTCCTAGAATACTGGCACTCCAATGAATCAGTCCTGCCAACCTCCCACCCCCCAAAACCAGCCCAAAGCCAACACACAGGACTTGCAGAGGACCATCCTGTGCGTGCTCTTGGCAAACCTTTAAAATCCTCTCATATGCAAAATACATAAAACCCCACAAGTGAGCAAAACTGCCAGCACAGAGAGGGGTGAGAAAAATCATGAGCCTGAGGGGGAGTGCTTTGCTTCTCCAAGCTTGCAGATGGTCCCAGGGCCCACCTTGTTCTGCACGGACCTACGTCCCCCATGACACACAGCTGCCCATGTGTTAACTGCTACTACTGCAGTGGGAATCTGTGTGAATATCCATGTATATGCCTTTGTGTGGACACACACAAAATCATACATAGTTATTTAAAGAGGGAATGAAGCCACAAATCACTTAAAGATCTCTAGAAGGCCTGAGTTCATTATTTTCAATTACTAATTTAATAAAACTAAGCCAACACCATCTAACTGCGGTATGCACTCTGCCCATTTCGACTGTTAAAGACTGACAACTTAATTAAATACATGCTGCTTTTCCAAACGTCTGTTTTTTCAGTGTTTTGGACCGTGACATAGCTTTCCTGAAGTTTTCAAGTGACGGACAGCACAGAATGAGGGAAGTGCTAGTAAAAGCTTCCAGCCCCTCTATCATTTATTTAACTTGATGATATTGCGGGGGACAAGGCCACACCTAAAGAGAGCAAGATCAGGTTTTACTTTTGCCTTGACGGTGTTTTATCTCTGTAAACACACGGCTAAGAAACCAACACAAGAGTTAATCCTTGCAAAACTTCCCCTAAATTTCAGCACTGACCAACAGTACAGAGTGCAATGCAAATGCTGTAAAGAACTACAGCTGTAGGTGTGCAACCCTTTCCTTTTGATTTTCACTGTTGGTACCTGGAGTACTGGGTACTTGTTGGTTGTACCCAACTAAATTATAACTCTTGTCCTTCCTACTGCAGAACTGGATTCTGCGCTGTTAACAACAGTGGCATTTCTTTCTCTGATTTAAAAGTGGGACACCATTCATTCTCAGAAATCACACATTTTTTATCTCTTACTTGCTAGCATGTGAGCCAGGAGGTGACAGTGGAGCAGCTCAGGAGAAGAGGATTTGATGGAAGCAATGAAGTATGAGAAACCCAATGCTCAGTGTTGAGCACCTCTGAATGTCAATGAGAGTCGAGGACTGGCAAGCTTCAGAGGAAAGCTGCTCAGTAATTCTAGTGACAGCTTGATTCTTGTGGTATTCCTGCAGCAGACCACAGTCATAGCACAGCAGATGCCTTTGCAACAGTGGGCAATACTCTGTGCACTGCAATAAACAGGTTCAGCTCCTTCCTCACACCCTGGTTCTGATCTGCTTGGGCTGACTGAAACCGAACTGAGAGTTTTAACACGGGAAGTCACATAGGTGCAGCACCCCAATGTATGGGAAAATACGAGCTGGAAGTGAGTAATGTCAGTATGTCTAGCTGACTTGGACAGAGCAAGCAGCCACCACTCTTGCCATGATTTCAGTATAAACACTAGGATTTTTACGTCTAAAGTAACCGGCAGTGTTGTATCTTCTATTTACTATTTTTCAGAGTTCCATTTTTGCTAACTCTTCTTTCTTCACCCTTTCAGAAGCTCGATATATTCACAACCTGGCAACACCGCAGCAATGGGCAGGAGTAGAGCTTACAGAACTGGCCTGCCATTGTAACCAGGGTGGTGTTAATTTCCTGTGCACAGCTGGGTGTAAAAGGTGACACAGACACATGCAGAAACACCACAGTGCCTGCACAGCAGCTTAAAGGTGGCCAGGCAAGCCAGCATACTCAAAATCGCTTTAGCTCCACAAATAAATACACAAAAGTAGGCAACAGTTACATCTGCAGGTGAGCCAAAAGAGAAAGTCCTTCCAGTCATTTAGTACAGAATATTTGTTTCTTCTTATTACATCAAAACCCCACATTAGTCTGACTTAACAATGGTTTACCAAAAGAATGACGAGGCATCCATATATTTTGTTTCATATATGTCATTACACAATACAAAGGGGAAAAATGCAACACAACTTTAAAGGTCCTATAGAACAGTAACAAAAGTTTCAAACTGAGCTTTGCATCTGTTATGCAGCGACATTTCTGCACGTTCCAACGAGTTACCATACTTAATAAAAGAAACCACATAAATCTCTTTTATCACAGAAAGAAGAGCAAAACTCCTGACACTGCTTGGCTTGCTCAGTTTATGTGTTGGTCTAAACGCATTTTATGGTTTTATATTAAATTTAAGCCACTAGGTTTGTGGGTTTTTTTTTTAGGTTAGGTTTTTGTTGTTTGTTTGGTTGTTTTATTTTTGTCTGAGAATAGCCAAATAACATTACCACAGAGCAATTAAAACCCCCTGGATACATAAAGGACTTAAGTCAAATTACTTCTTCTGTAGAGCAAGAACATGATTTACAAAGAGATTAACAAGGTCCTGTTCTAAGCAGCAAGAATGAAAACTGAATGTATAATGCCAAGTAGTCTGCTCAGGTTTCTAAGAAAACAAAGAACATAAAACAGGGTCACCACCTTAGATACTATATACAAGCACTTAAACATTACGACAGTGTAAACATAATTTAAAAAGAAAATCACCATTGAATGCTTTTATCAACATTGTACTTAAAATATTAGATTTCCAGTTTCTTCCAGATAACTTCTCTTACTCAAATATGAATTGATAACCTCCTAAAATAACAGAATGCTAGTTTTAGCAGGCTATTAAACAGTTGTACAACTTGTCTCCTATAGAGTGCAAAGAGATTCATTGCAATGTGGAATTCTTGTTAGAAAGTATACTTTTTTGCTGGTGGTCTATCTCATCTCAAGAAATATATCATAAGCCTTAGAAATATCAGGAAGTTATCTTTTCTGGCAATTTAATTTTTAGCTCTGAATAAAATATACATCAGAAACTTGCAGAAATTTGATTTGGAAGGAAAAATAAAGCTAATGTTAAGTAGATCTGTTGTGTATTAATTTTGAATGAACTAGGCTCTCTCGGTTTACAGACCATTTTACACATCAAAGAAATTATTAGGCTCAAAAGAAACTTAACTATAAACATTGCACCCCAGCTGTTTCAAATCTGATCTTCAGAGAACTTTACAGACACAAATCTGAACGCCTTAAAGTACAGAGCAGAAGGGAAGCCAAGCCAAACTAAACC